TGAAGTCTGTGCTGTTCTTGGTAATTGCAAAACTATTTGGAAAGGGATACCCAAGACACATACATAATTTACATAACTAATTGAACCAAAGTGTTATGATTTGATACAACTGGATGGTGGATACACAAATGCTGTCAAATTATTCTCTGCATCTTTCAAAATGTGGTGAAATTTGTTTATAATGAAAATTCTTATGAGCACATTGAGGAGTTTAAACAATTTGCTAACGGATGGAAAAGATAAAGGATTGAGGATTGTCCAATCAAACCGCTGTAGGAATATCTTATCATTAACAATAATTTATGCAGCCGGTGCACGGTGGCCTCATGCCTGTAATCCACAAGCCACTGTTGGGAGGTTCAAGGAGGCAGATCACTTGAGGTCAGCGAGCTTCGGAGACCAGCGCCTGGGTCAACCATGATTGCAACCCCTCCTCACTAAAAATACAGAAAATTTTAGCTGGCGTGGTGGGTGGGTGCCTGTAATCCCAGGAAGCTGAAGCAGGAGAATGCATTGAAACTGGCGAGGCAAGGTGCAGTGAGCCCAAGCTTCGTGCCACTGAACCTCCAGGCTGGGCAACAGAACAAGAACTCTGTCTCAAAAATTAGAATAACCCGGAGAGTGGGAGCTTTTAACAGTGAGCGGATTGCAGCTGTCTGCACTTCCAGCCTTGGGCCAAGAAGAACGAGGGACTTTGGTCCAGAGAAATAAATAAATAAAATTAATAAAAAAGAGTATTTGAGACTACACGTTTGCCTTCTGTGTAATAAAAAGCGCCAATGAAAGGCTTTTCTGATTTTCAGGGCGTCTCTTTTCTGACCCTATAGAACGCACCCTACCAAAACGCCCTCCATGCGGAGCCTTTGCAATGACCCTTACCAAGGGGAAAGAGCTTCCACTTTTAAATGAATGTTAGGAGACTTTGCTTCTGCGGTTGAGACTTCCCCCCCAGCAACATTCTGTGTAAGATGACAGTGGCTAAGCTGAGTGCTGTAAAGTAGACACAATGATGTTGTGTATGTGTTGCTTGTGTGAAGAAGTGGTGTGTGTTGTGTGGGGATGTGTGAGGTGATCCACCCTGTTGGTCAGGCTGGGCTCAAACTCCTGACGTCAAGTGATCTGCCTGCCTCAGACTTCCAAGGTGCTGGGATTACAGACGTGAGTCACTGTGCCCGGCCCAGACTGTCCTGTTGAAATGTGCACAACAGAGACCTCAAGGTTGTCTTTTTCCAGCAGGAGCTCCAGGATCATGACTGAGGATAGATGCTTCCCAACCTGCTCACTCTCCAAAGAGCTTGCAAGTAGGCACAGATGAACCAAGCTCACCTTCCTAACAATGACACCTGCAGAATGGCACACCATGAGTTTTGTCTCCAAATGCACCATTCCTCCAGTCTGAGGAGTCCCAGTTAGTCTCTTTTTTTACTGCTGCACTCCAGCCTGGGCAAAAGAACGAGACTTTGTCTCAAGAAAATAAATAAATAAAATAATAAAAAAGAGTATTTTGAAACTACACGTTGCCTTCTGTGTAAATTAAAAGCCAATGAAAGGCTTCTGATTTTCAGGGCGTCTCATTTCTACCCTATAGAAGCAACCCTACCAAACCCCTCATGCAGGAGCCTTCATGACCCTACCAAGGGGGAAAGAGCTTCACTTTTAAATGAATTTAGGAGCTTTGCTTCTGCGGTTGAGACTTCCCCCCAGCCAACATTCTGTGTTCAGAGACAGTGGCTAAGCTGATGTGTAAATAACACAAGAAATGTTGTGTGAAGAAATGTTGTGTGAAGACGGGTGATACCAACATTGGGACTGGAGACAGCAGGTACTGTGATTCAGGTGAAACTCTCACCACTAATTGGTAGAGAGAGAAAAAGAAAGGGGAGGCTGAGGCAGGAGAATCGCTTGAACCCAGAAGGCAGAGGTTGCAGCAGTGAGCCGAGATCCTGCCACTGCACTCCAGCCTGCATGACAGAACAAGACTCAGTCTCAAAAAAAAAAAAAGTCTCCTATTGACCCATGTTATGAAGTCATTTTTTATGTAATAGCAAACTAATTGGAAAGGGATACCCAAGACACATACATAATTTATAACTAATTAAGCAAAATGTTATGATTTGATACAACTGGATGGTGGATACACAAATGCTGTTCAAATTATTCTCTGCATCTTTCAAATGTGTGAAATGTTTTATAATGAAACATTCTTATGAGGCACATTGAAGTTTAAACAATTGCTAAACGATG